CAGCATTAAGAGGTTAGTGTTATGACTGGTCGGCCTGGTGTCAGGATAATGTGACTGGGTGTGACATCATGCTACATGTCTGCGACATGATTAATCATTGCTAGACATCACTATAAACTGCCATACTGCAGACATCGTAGCGATATGACTGGCAGATTGTTAAAGCTACGTTAAAAATCATAATCACATCACATCACCAATAAGGAAGAAGATCTCAAATGTAAGCACCCATTTAGAAAGGCTGGAATAGAAAATGTGTTTTCTTGTAGATATGTACATTTATATAGATAGTTATGACAATGTAAATAAGAAAAGTTATTACGGTTACACTAAATTGGTTTTCTATTGACGGTGTGATCGTGACGTCACATTGTGACTAAATGACTGAATATTTATATGTCGGGAAGTTCATTTGCCCTGTCATTGGTGTTTGTATGTAGCATAACTAAAATATACGAACTCCTGTCTTTTGATATAGCACTTATGTCTACATTTATTTGTTTGAAGGAAAGCTAATTTCTCTCTCTACCTGAATATCTTATTTAACTTGCCTGAGTGCTTTCGGCTCTCAGTGTGTCTTTTAGAAAAGGCAAATACAAAACATGGACATAGCAAACAAATTAAACACAAACGGTTGTGTTTGTATAACTTCATATGGCCGTTTCTACAGGAATTAAACATTTAGATTAATTATATTTCAACTAGTTTATTCAACTTGTTGTGGCTACTACAACATTTTATTCATCCAATTAGATCTATGAAGGTTGATCCTTCTGTGTAGCTTTTCAATTTCTCTGACATACTGAAGGTTACAGATCTCACATGTGATGAGGTAAATTACAATGAATGTCTATGTTTTGCACTTTTTGTTTTGGACCATATATGTTTAGTGTTTATCTAGACACTAAGCTAGAAATGTCCTGATCTATATCGCATGTTTACATGTTTTGCACCTTTTATCTCCAAATTGGCCAGACTGACTAGGGCAGCTTGATTAGTGATTATTCTTATCTTCACCCTGACTGAGATGTTTCGGATGATTTTTGATCTCCGGTAGGCTACTACAGGTCTGTTATTAGGATTAACTTTATTGGGATAATTTTACCTACTTTGGTTTTGTCTGGATGGTACGTTAGGATAAATGGTACCATATCAGCCTTTTCATTCCTTCAATATTTGAGTAGGTCATCGCAAGTTGTTTTTAGCCTTTTGGGTTGTCTCCGCAATCAAGGCTCTGTCTTAGCTTCAGTAATTTAAATGTTTAGATAGCCATCCGGATCTTTATAGGAATGTTTCATCGTCGAAGCAAAATATGCGCAGCCTCAGTGCCTGACTCTACGGTATTATACTAATTCATTGTTTTGCATTGCATATGTTTGGAAGAGATACTGGTGTTTGTCAGTTGGTTTCGAGTAGATGTCGGTATTTTGTTTTCTCTCAGTCCGGTTGCTGTGTCCAGGAAAACATGGTTTAAGTTGAAGACTTCTCTCGTGAATTGTATTGAAGGATGGAAGTTGTTTGCCTTTTGATATGAAATTGTCCAGTCTTTCTATTCCATGTTGCCACTTCATATCTATATTTTTGATAACGGATACATGTTGGTATGGTATAAGTTCAACCAATGCTGAATGTCGCCCCTCCAGTTTTCCATTCAAATATTAGCATACGAAGAGGCCATGTTTGTTACCATTGATTTGGAGGCAGTTTTCTTCATTAAATTCAAAGTTAATGGGTTTTAGGGCAAGCTCCTGGAGTTGGACTAGGAAGTGTGTGGGTGGATTGTCTACAGTTCTTGTTTCCATTTGCTTAATAACATATAATTACTACTACGACAATTAAATATTCGTGATATAATTTGTGCTTACATACATTTACACAAACAAATGATGTCGCTATGATTCGTCGACCTTTAGGTCAATAAAATTATTTTCAAGTATTGTAAACAAGTTGATATAAACTAGTTGAAAGTTGAAAAATAACAAAATTCGAAAGCGTTCAGGCTAGTTAGAGGCTTGTTTTTCACGTTTCTGTATATGATTGTTCAATCCTGTTATCGTTTCCACAATGATTCATTTACATTCTTGTCCTAATCCTTCAATAGTGTTTGTCTGCTTGTCGGCGTTGCTCTGTATTTAGTTGACGCAAAGGAAATACAAACAGACACACTCTTACACTATATACACTGATATATAAAATAGCCGCTACCAGCTGCATTAAGTTAGATACACGAAACATGACAAATATAAATTCTATATCTTGTTTAAATTTCTGGATATAAATGTGGACAAAAGTGAGAACGATTTTAAGGCTACCTTGTTGGTTCGTTTACTAGAGAATGATCAACGTATCAAAACGGAACAATATATCGTGCTTTATGATTGAAAATAAAAATATGAGTATTTATAGAGATTCACAATGGTTACCATGACGTGATGCATAATTATTGTTTACTAATAACGAACTGTACAATATAGCTTTCAATTATTCTATCCTTTGAGATACATCTCTATTCACAAGGGTGAATGGTGTTATTTTTAAATGAAGATTTTATTTAGCGTGTTAATTATATCAAGCAATAAAGGGAATTTTGAGTGTCCTTAAGACACCCATAATATAAACAATATATAACATGACAAGGCTCTTATCGTCAGGAATTGTAAGCTTTATATACGATAAACAAATCTCTATTATTGTATTTAATTTAATCTGCATGACTTCTTCCTAGTTATGTGTTATTTGTATACTTTGATATCAGCAGATACACGTAATTTAATTTGCGTCTTTAACAATTATCATGTGACATATAGACGTCGTGCTTAAGGATACATTCAGTACATCAAAACATGTTTATATTTGGCACATCGATAATCCTTACTTGTTAATATACCTTTTGCTCTAAGAACATGGCTTTAATCTTATAAATTAAGTTCAAAAGGTTGAGAAGTGTCATTGTTATTGACAATGTTATTGACAATGTTATTGACGATGTTTAGCACGATCCCAAGAGTAAATAACATGCTTACTCACACAAACAAAACCTCGGCAAATAAAGTATGGATAAAACTCAGACTGGGACTTAAACTCGTTGGACATGTAATTGCTATATTAGTAATATCAGGGTCAGATGCGATGAGCCCGAACATGCTCATTGTATGTAATGATACAAAACGGTTATAAAATTAATTTCTTGACGGACAGTGTTCCGCATATTAAAAACTGTCAATAGTGTTACCAACTCTTATTGTTTATAAAAACCATCAGAATATAGGCTCCTTTTCAGACATTTGTAGTTATCTTGTATAAATTGCCCAACTGTGGAACAGAAAATATTTAGATCGTGCGTCTGAAATTAGACTACAGTTACTAATTAGCTTTAATTATCCTATTCTTTACAACATAATATTGGAAAGTATATCTTCCTGACAGTATATGTATAATTTTAGGTCAGTACTTGATATTTCTAAGCATAGATGTGCTGAAAAGGTATCAAGCACATTGATCGAGACACAATAATCATTCATAGTATTTCAGTGCAAACTTCATCAGAGGAGTTAATTTTGGTGTTGTAATAACCGCACAGACTCAGCGCAGTAATCCACATCATCTCCATACAATACAGCAAAGATCTCTGATATATTCTCACTGATGAAACTACTCATGTTACACTCATGTTGTAACTTCTTGACGAACCATCAATAAAATGACCAATCATCAAAAAAATGATTAATCATCAATAAAAAGTCTAATCATCAATAAAAATACCAATCATCAAAAAGGACCAATCAGAAACAATGACTAATCATCAATAAAAAGACCAATCATCAATAAAAATACCAATCATCAAAAAAGACCAATCATCAAAAAATGACTAATCATCAATAAAAAGACTAATTATCAATAAAAAAGACCAATCATCAAAAAAGACCAATCATCAAAAACAATGACTAATCATCAATAAAAAGAATAAACATCAATAAAAAGACTTAAATAATTGGGCTTGAAAAATAGCCATGACAGTCATAGTGATATTTATAGTCAATTAAAATCAACAAAAACTAATAATTCATAAAAAATAATATTGCAGAACATAACGGACTATTAAGGCATTATTTAGCATATTCCTTATTATGTAGCAAGTCCTTCCTACATACTTTCTATGAACTACAATTATTGTGGGGAAGCTTCTGTATTCTTCGCGTTTTCTTAAGCATATGAGTGCATTATTTATCTTTTACAAACTACCCAACTGTGGAACATAACCTGTTTAGATCGTGCGTCTGAAAATTAGACTACAGTTACTCATTAGCTTTTATTATCATATTCTTTCAGCATAATATTGGAAAGTCTATCTGCTTGACAGCATATATATATATATATATATATATATATATATATATATATATATATATATATATATATATATATATATATATATATATATATATAATTTTAGGTCAGGTCCGTTACGGATCACTGCCATCTCACCTCTGTCTGTGTGAGTTCGAGTCTAGGATTCGGCGGATGTAGATATGTGAGAAAGCTTGCCAGTAGCTTCTCGTGGGTCATTGGTTCTTTCCGGTGATTTCCCGGTTTCTTCCTCCACCATTAATACTGGGCGCCATGAATAGCCTATTGTGTGCTGACAAATGGCGTTAGGCCCAACAACAACAACAACAACAACAACAACAACAACAACAATTTTAGGTCAGTACTTGATATGTCTAAGCATAGATGTGCTGAAAAGGTATCAAGCACATTGATCGAGGCACAATAATCATTCAAAGTATTTCAGTGCAAACTTCATCAGAGGAGTTAATTTTGTGCTGTAATAACCGTACAGACCTAGCGCAGTAATACACATCATTTGCATATAATACAGCAAAGATCTCCGGTATATTCTCTGTGATGAAAATACTCATGTGACTCTTAGGTAGTAACTTTTTGACGAATCATCAATAAAACGACGTAAAGAATTGGGTTTAAAAAATTCCATTATATTG